TTTTCATCAGTTAACTCAGGAAATGAACTGGATTGAAATAGATTTCTTGATTGAAATGAGAATAATGCTTTAAAGAAAATGCCCTCTCAACTGTATAGACTATGTTCACTTATTAAAAATCAATTTTCTTCATTAAATGTGAAGAAAATTGATCATGAGAAGATATCTCTCTGAAGAGAAAAGCTGAAATCTCTCATAGACTTACAAATAAGTGAACTATCTAAAGAGAGAGAATATGAACAGCATTTGAAGAAGATCTCTATAATTAATATAAAAGACTCTATTCTGATTTACTCAGATGACTCAAAAAGTGAGAATTTGAATAGATTAGATGCAGACATTGCTTATACTGAAGATAATATCAATTTTATCTCAGATTTCTGAAATTTAGACTGTGAATCTGAAGTCTTTGATGCTGAACTATTTGTAATAGTGAAAGCTTTCAAACTCATTGAAATAAAATCTCATAAAAGAGGAAATAGTTTGAAAGAGACATGAATAGTCTCTGATAGTCAAGCTGCTTTAAAAAGACTTTGAAATAGTCAGATTCATAATGATCAAATGAATCTTGAACTGATTTTAAACTCTGTTTTGAAAATTCAAAAGAGAAGAACATCTAAACTGATAATTGATCTGCATTGAGTTTCTACTCATATGAATATTCATGACAATGAATAGGCTGATTCAGGTATAAAAAAGAGTTCAGAATTAAGCAGATCTATTCAAAAAACAGTGTTCTGATCTTTCATAAAGAGAAAGATAAAAGAATCTTATTTAAACAAGTGAAATGAAAGCTGGCAGAAACAAAAGAAGAGCATACATTATTCAAGATTTGAGATAAAACCAAAGTGAAAATCTTGTGCAATTAAATGCAAAAAGAAAATATTCTCATTCATAATTCAGCTAAAACTAGAACATGGTTATTTCAAATTCTATATACAAAGATTTGATGATAGATTTGATTCAACAGAGTGCTCATTCTACAATACAAATCAGAATTCTGAGTATATTGTAATACATTGTGTATTATACAATAGTCTCAGAGTCAGATTAAAGAAGAAGTATGATTTAAATCAATTAAATATGAGGTTCTTATTCTCAACTGAGACAGAACTTAAATACTTAATAAACTTTCTATCAGAAACTCAAGCAGCTATAAGAAAATGACTCAATTCAGATGTATCTGAATATGAAGAGATGAAAATTGATTAGATATAGTCTGTTAAAGCAGCTATACACTATCTTTTAATAATTTTATTTTGTTATAGTCTCTCTTTACTATACTTGTTTTATTCTGTTCTTTTCTATCTATCTATTTAATGTGTCTATCTTTAAGACTATGTTCTCTTTTCCTTTGTCATGATATTTTCAAATGATTTCAAAGTATCAAAAGATGTTGAAATACTGCAATTTGTAAACAGTTTTTGTATTCTGAGCTGGAATTTTCTAATTTTGCATATCTGAAATTGATAAGTGTATAATAGTTGACTCTATAGATATAGGAAAAACTCTGAGAACTAAAGGTTCTCAGGTAGATGTCATAGTCTCTGACTGCATACATCTATAATTAAAGAATAATAATAATAATAATGTAATAAGATTTTACAAGAGAATGTCAGTGAAAGATCTGAGAGTTCTGACACTCAGATATATGAGAATATGATTACACTTCTTCAGATTTCATAGATATCATATATCTGACAATCAATATAATCATGTCTAATGATAATATAAAACTCTCAAATATAAGTATAGACATGATGTCACAGTGTCTCTGAGCAATGTTGAAATTATAATAATAATAAATAGCTGATATGCATGCAACTCAATAACTTCAATATAAAGAGATTCAACAATTAACTCATGCAATTTCAACATCTACAGAACTGAATACAAAAGCACTGAAAGAATGCTTAAATGCTCTCATATATTTTAATACTTTCAATCTCACTCTCTACTCATCATGAAGGATGAAAATGCTTATAAAACTAAGTGTAGATAGAGATTTCATCAGTTTATTAATCAATCAAGATTGATATATCAATAGACAATTGAAAGATTGTGTGAAACAGAAGTTTCATTCATGAATAAAAGCATGTGAATCAGTATTGTAAACATCTGACAATATTATGAAATATCTTGATATTCTG